AGAAAATCTAGAACCATAAAAGATTTTATTGTACATATTCTGTAACTTCATTGAAGTGAAGGCAGTGCATCTAAATTCCAAAATGGATCCAGATTCAAATTGATATTGCGCATCATCAAGTAGTAAATAAGTAATGACAGAAACTGATTGGCTGAATAAATGAAACATATTTCATATTTCTTGAGAATTACATTTTATGGATTGTTGTTGGACAGAAATGACAACAAAACATGCTTTGATGTTTTTATTTATGTTTTTTTTTTTTTTTCTTACAAATAAATGATAGAAGTATATATATAACTAAACAAAAATGTAGAGGTGTTATTACTGGACAGCACCTAAGATTTGTCAATTTCTAGAATGTATTTCACAGTTAACCAATATTGACTGACTTCATCATGGTGACAGATTATGTTTGGATTACAAATTAAGGACATACACAACGTAGTTGGAACTTTATTGTCTTTTTCCCTGGAGTTGAAGAGTTCCAATATTTAAAGGAACTGTGTGCTACATTTTAATGTCTATATACGCTGTTGTACATTTCTTTTAAAACAAATTTGGATAAACAAAACATCTAGAATATATGTTTAGTAATTTTTGTATATTTTTCTTTGAATTATACAAGAATTTTCTTCAAGTTATATCTTTTCAAAACCCCTGGTAATGCATGCTGATTTTTTGTCTATGAACATCTGATGGCACTGTAATCTTAAATTAAGAATATCTTGAAAAATTATCAGTAGGTAAGGTACCTTGCGTATGTCCTTAAAAATGAAAGTGAGATAATAAGAACAGTTTTAAAATGTCAAATAATATAGAGTATATGATGGGAGAGGTACCCTTGCAAAAATATGAATTGTATTTGTTTAAAAGAAAGAATATCTTTGTATGAGTGATCTCCCTTAACTTAAAACACTTTATTAACTGTTGGAGTCATCTGCCTTACACTAAAACACTATGTTAACTACTGGCGTGATCTCTGTTAAATTAAAACACTATGTTAAAGCAATATGAGCTGCAACTTTGATTTTGTTGCAAAATTGTAATTAACTATTTCAATGACAGAAAAAAAGAATGTTTATAAACTTCTGTTATTTATATTTATGATGGAAGAACTATTTATAAGCTTTGATTGAAGCAAAATTACATTACTGCCGTCCTGTACAATATTGATTTCTTATATAATACTATATATTTGATTGTACAGAATCCTTTATTGTGTTCACATTTGAAACTTTATTTCTGTCTAATTGATCAAAAAAGTTTAAATTACATACATTTTTATCATAATAACACATTTTAACAGCAAAATAAAAATTCTCAAAAATGCAGCTCCTATTGCTTTAACCATTGGAGTGATCTCCCTTATACTAAAACACTATATTAACCATTGGAGTGATTGAGATAGATTAAAATAAGCAGAGAGTGAGATGCTAACTTTTACAGAGAAAGTTCAAATTATGTACCCTGAATGGAAAATCTAAATAATTGATTTTGATTTGTCAAGCCATCTGGTTTTTGTTGTTATTTAAACGTAATAATTAAAAATCCAATTCAGGATATTTGTTACAAACCATGCATATTGATGAAGACAGAAAAGATTCATTTTGAAATATTTTTTTAAATTTTTTTCTTGGAATTAAGTTGGATTTCTATTACTCTGGAGTCTAAATGAGAAGCATTGAGAGTAAACTTGGCATTTAACGCAGGAGAGAAAATCATTAATTATAAACTGTGCAAATAAAGACTGTATTAAATTTGAAATGGGGGAATTTTATGTTGATTGTACGTGTGAATTTCAGTGATGGATGTTCTTTCTATTTTTGTGTTAGTTGCATTTTACACGTAAAGTTAATGCTGACAAATAAAAATATTTGAAATGCATTTTAAGAAAATTTGTATCAGTTTTAAGAGTTCATCATGGTAAATCTGATACTTTTGAATTTCATGAAATGCATTGTGACTTCATGAACCTTCAGGAAAAAAGCACCTTTAATTACCTGTATATAAATTTTAGGAGCTTGTGTATTTGATTGAAATGCAGAGAAAACAAATAGAGATTTTATTTTCAAGATAAGCAAAAATTACTATTGTAAGGTATTTGTTAATTCATCACTTGAGTCACCCTGGGGACCTACCTACCTAACATTAATCTGACATTGTTCATTTTGTGTCATCTGCCATGCCTAAATATTTTCACCAGCTTTCATTTAGCAGAACTGATTTTAACCAATTTTGATTTATAGTATCTCTGGAAAAAGGGTGACAGAAAGATTGTTTATCTCCCTCCTTCCCCCATTGAATCTGACTAAAAACATGAATCAAAGTACTGAAAGTACTGAAAGCCGGGCTTAAAGGTCACAAGCTACATTTGATTGTAGAACAGATTTTTTTTTCAGACAATAATATGTAAAATTGAGCAAAACACTACAATATGTATGCAGGAGTTGTATATCTTCCAAGTAATTATTAAAAATATCTTAAAATTTTGTCAAGGAAGTGTCATCCCTGAATGCAGGTTTTTTGTAGTTGATATAATTGTGCTCCTTTGGATTAGTTTCAGAAAACATAATGTAAATGCCTTTGCATTCAGTGTTTGCCAAGAAAGTTGTCATATTATTACTCTTCACCTTGCTGATTTTTTTTAACAGAAGAAAATATACAATAGAGCACGTATAAAACACTTTTATTTACAAGATAATCATTACAGTAATCAAAGAGAAATCATGTTAAGTCAACAATTATTTTAAGAACAATTATGGTCCCACTTTTTTTTTTACTTGCAAAATTAATGGTTGAACAACACTAAAAGGAAAAGCTGCTGATTATCTTCAAGAACCAGTTATATACATCTTTGTATGTGAGGTCACATAAAATGCTCTTAAAGTTTATGAAAAATATTTGCAAGTCCAAACACTTGTATGAACATGTTGTTAACTTTGGAGAAAAGTTACAATCATAATGCTACTTGTAGATTAATCAGCTTATAACAGATGAAATGGCAAATTACATTTAGACAAAGACGTAGTGAACTTGTTTCTTCATGTATCTTTCTGTTTGATGTAAATAAGTAGTTTGTTCATGGATGTAGAGGGCAAAATTGCAATACAAAATTGCAGTCATTTTTACATGTTTCTATTAGAATGAGGAAGCCAATTTATTCATGGAGAAAGGGTGAATTACATTTCTCACGGACTCATGTTATTAAATTTTGAAAAAGAGGTTCAGGATTTCTGTTTCAAAACATGTTTTTACTTGTGAATTAAGATGACTAGTTTGTTCATGGATCAAATGAGCAAAGTTGCAATTCTGACAAACATGTTAATTTTGGAAACAAAATCTCAGGTAATTTTACATTATATTTGTTACTGGTTTATTTAAGTAACCAGTTTGTTTACATATAAGAAGGTCAAAATTAAAAATGCTCAAAAACATGCAGTTAACCTTAAATACAAATTTAGTCATTTTTCACAACGTGAAAACTTCAAGTACACACTTAATTCATGGATGAAGAGGACAAAGTAAAAATATTTAGACAATGATTTTTTTTCATCTACATGTGATCTATATTGCTACTCAAAAACAAAAATAAACATATATACACGTAATGACTTTGTGTTCTCATCATTATCATGAACTGAGCAAAGTTCAGCAAGCACCATTGTATAGAAATTTACATTCAAGAGACCCCATCTAAGGGAATAAAAACAAATTCTGAAAAACTTTCATCAAACTGCCATACTCAGGAAAATATACAAAATTAAAAAAAAATATAGGATAAAAAAAAACATGCTGTTAACCTTAAATACAAATTCAGTCATTTTTCACAACGTGAAAACTTCAAGTACACACTTAATTTTATGGATGAAGATGACAAAGTAAAAATATTTAGACAATGATTTTTTTCATCTACATGTGATCCATATTGCTACTCAAAAACAAACATATATACACGTAATGACTTTGTGTTCTCATTATCATGAACTGAGCAAAGTTCAGCAAGCACCATATAATACACTGTATAGAAATTTACATTCAAGAGACCCCATCAAACTAAATAAAAACAAATTCTGAAATACTTTCATCAAACTGCCATACTCAGAAAACAATACAAAATAAAAAAAATATAGGATCAGACTACTGTAGTGTAGTACAGATCCTATCGAACAGAAAGAATATCGATACAAGGCAAAAACTGCAACCTAAGAAAAAGTTACAAAGTTGTATATCCTAGTTGAATGCACAAAGAAAAAAAATCTAAAGTCTAACAAATACATAAATGTCAAGGCACATGCATTGTATCAATATCAAACAAGGTTTTCAAGTTTTTACAATCATCCTCAAGAGAAGAAGAGCAGCTATAAACATACATTCTATTAAATAAGAAGCTGACCTGTACAATCTGATCAGAAGGAAAAGGACTAGAAAGTCTTTTTTTCCCAAGTGCACACCACATGTACAATATTTCCTGCAACATATTTAGTTTGGGCATTGAAAAATTATTGTTTCAGCAATTGTTATAAGAATAGTGAGTCATTACCATTTCATGTAATGAAAACTACAACACACATCATATCACCTTCAATGTTTGGCACATTTTTTCCTTCTTCAAAAATGGTTTAAATAGAAAAGGTGTAAATAATAATAATAAAAAAAAAAAGAAACAGCACCATTAGAAATAAAATTACCATGAAAATAACTATTAACTAGATATTGACAGTGACGTGGAAAAATGTGAAACAAGTGAAAGCATGAAGAACATGCAAAAACCTATGAACAAGACATTCAAAAGAGAATGCATTTGAGATGTACATGTAAGTGTATACAAAACAAAACAGAACACATCACATATGACTGAACAGGAGGTGGTGATGCATGCAGCAGCATGAAGTGTTTGCAAATAGTATGGGAATGTTTAGCACATTCAGAACATGAGAAAAAAACATACATTTCCACTTAAAAATGTATATTCATGGACATGGTACCAAAACTAAAACCTAAAATTTCATGGCTAACAAATCACTGCCCTTAAATGTACACTCTACCACTAACGTTGGCCGGCAAAGGGAAACTAGGTAATCCTCCAAGTCTTTTTCCTTGCCCTTGCACTCTGGGAAAGCATCCTGGAGGGACTTCACAGGTGCTGAAACAACTTTGTCATCCTTGAGTAATAGGGTGGCAGTATTCTCGTTTTCAATACAAACAGACTCTATCTCCCATTTCACTTTTTCTTCTGGGCACTCTGTTTTCTGTTAGAAAAATGAAATAATTATTACAAAACTTAACAGTCATAAATTTTTTTTAAAGATTTTTAGGATATTATGCAACATTTACATAATGAGTAATGATAGAAATCTTAAAGATTAAGAGGCAAACTTACAGTTATTGCTGTCCTCGATGTTGTTGATAAAGAGACCTCATTTCTGAATGTATTTGTGATGCAATCGGAGACCTCTATGTAATCCCCTGGTCTGATTGCCTGATCAGCCAGATCCCTCCACAGTGCGATTTTGCATTTTTTGGTGGAGTCCTCCAAGAAGATGTTTTTCACTTTGACATTTTCTTCATTTTTTACTGTCACATATCGTGTAGCTTCCTCCTATAATATATTACAACAGTTATTAAATCACTGAGATCAATGCAAGGTTAAACAAAACATCTAATGAAAACAATTTACAAACATGCAAAGGAGTATCAATAGCATGAATTTCTATAAAAAATTTTGTCTTTTGAAAAGTAAATGTAGTATGTTTGCCTAAATATCAAAATATTATACATTTAAAGCAAGGTCTGATGTTTATCAGAGTGGATATTACATTGTAATAAAGAAATTGATGTAACATAGTATAAGAATAACTTTGAATCATATCATCATCTAGGAAATAATATTAATATAATAGTTTCTGAAAAAAGGGCAAAGGTGTCTTCTTTTTCTCTATACACTAACCTGAACTATTTTCCCCCGTACGGACACTTTGGTTTTTGTTGGAGATGCCAATGCCTCTACCACACTCTTGACATCTGCAGGAGGAGGATGCAAAATAGCAATCCCTTCTTTCTCCATACTTGCTGGGAGGTTGAGTGCTTTTGCTGCAGGAAATATAACTGTGGCACTTGTGACAGCTATCCCCTCAGGCTTACGAATAATGTTTCTCAGTATGATTGTGGTGCCAGCTTTGAATCTGTGAAACTTCTTCGCATCATACACAACACATTTCACAGCTTTGGTACTGTCTGCAACAACAGTATTCATCAGTTCTCTCTTTTCTTTCTTGTCGTTGACATAAGTGGTTGCTGGGTCACTACACAAGACTTTGACTGTCATCTTCTTTGGGTAGGGAGAGTGTCCCACAACTGATTTCATTAGTGTAGCAAGGTCTGTTTCAGAACTCTGTTGAAGTAAATATAAATGTAATAAGCATACTAAGCATATAGTTATATGCACAATGATCAATGTGTTTGTCATCGATATATATTTACATATATATAATAAAGTGAACATAACTATTGATATATTTCTTTTTACAAATGATTTGGAAATTACCCCAAAAATTAAAATCTGATTTTTACCCCTTCATGTTTAATAACATTTAAGGAACCTAATGGGTGTTTCATAATTTTAGTTTTAATGAAAAAAGAAAAATTGACATAATGATTTAAAATATACAAAACATTCTATAAACATTTCTAATATCTTGACATATATTGGTACTTCTTGATTGATCAGTTTACTATTTATGTTTGTGTTGTTAAACTTGCATTCTCATCAATTATGGCATAAACTGGCTTGTGATCAGAGAAGTAAGATTCTAATGTACCATATGCAAGAAGATCTGACTGTGAAAAATTGATGTAAATATGATCAAGACAAGAGTCATAGTCAGTTGTAACAGATTTCAAAAGTTGAATGAAGCCAAAGGTGTCACAAATAAATTGTGCAATTTGACTTCCTTCCAAAACATTTTGATTGAAATCTCCCATTATAACTGTACAGTCTTTTAAACAGACAATTTCCTCTATTTCTTGGAAAAGCTCTCTGCATACTTTAAGAGTGGCAGATTTGGGAGGGAAGTAAATAAAAATGACATTGATATGCTGTACTCGCATCAAAATCAATTCAACTCCTGCTGCACAATGACCTAAAAGACGTGCGACATTGCATTTGCTATAGACTGCCATACCATGAGGACATTCTTCATTAACAAAAATCGAACTGTACATATCTAATTCATACAAATGTTTGTTTTGAAAAATGCGTGTTTCACAAAATCCCAGTATATCAGCCTTGGTGATATATCTGTCTTTTCTTATGTCATCAATATGCTTCTGTAGAGATCTGCAGTTTTGGAAACAAATGGTAATACATTTTGATTTTCCAAGATGTTCTACATTTGGGATACTTAATTTTGTTGTACATGTTTGTCGAAGGCGAACCATTTCCTCTTGTACATTGCTGGATACACAAATTTTTTTTTCATTCAAGTTGAGTATATATGCAGAATTCAGGTTTTGCACTCTACTCAAACCAACATAATGAATATGCTCTGTTTTTCTGCCCTCGAAGTTTATCACAACTCCTTTCAAAGTCGAGCCTTGTGCTTTGTGAATTGTCTTCCCTGCAGCAACTTGAATTGGAAATTGACGTCGAGTAACATAGTAAGTTTTATAATGCTGTAAAGTAAAACTTCTTGTTGTTTCTAAAATAGGTGTCCAATCTAAAGGAATGCCTTCAGTAAATAAATGAGCATATTTTTCACGCCAAAGCTTTCCTACTGATTTGTCTTCAAACTTAACCCAAATGATGCTGCATCTTGAGGAGTTCTCTACCCTGAAATCCAACATTTGGACAATACAAGGAGAACCATTTGTCATTCCATCCTCAACATTTATATTTACACACAGTTCATACTGTACACCAACACCCACTTGCAACATTTTTTTTAGTCCCATTGTCTTCGATGAATCATCAGGCACTTTATCTAGAATTTTATTTCTCAGGTCTGTAGAAATTTCACCAGAAATGCTGTCTATGGCCTCAACTGATGTTTTCTGTGCTTCTGAAACACTTGCAAGAACTTCCATGTTATGTTCTGATGATGCAGCACGGGTAGTATATAAATGTGGCAATTTCTGAGTTGATTCAGAGAGATTCTCTTTGACAGTAATTCTGGATTTGAGTTTATCTATATCTTCTGGAATTGCATGCTTTCCTTCCCTTAGTCTGTTCAGAAGCTGTGCAAATTCTAAATCATCCCTCTGTCTCATTATTTCTTCTAGTTCGTAGAAAGAAAACAAGTCTTTCCATAAATTTGTTCCAAGAACTTGAAGTCCATCACATCTTTGTGTAAATATCCAAGAATCCATCACTGGTTTCAGTTGGAAAAGATCTCCAACAGCAACTACGCTTATACCTCCAAATGGTTTTGTACATCCTCTAATTTCTTGTAGTCTTAAGTTAATAAAATTGAACATACCACTACCAACCATAGAAATCTCATCAATAAAAATCACCTTGACATAATGGTATTTACACCTCATCGTGTCCAACTGCTGCATATCTAAAGGTTTAAATTTAAATCCCCTACCAACTGGAATGCTGAAAGTGTTGTGGATTGTGTTTCCTCCTATATTATGAGCAGCTTTTCCTGTTGGAGCACAAAGCAAAATTTTGAGATGGTCAGGGTTTTCTCCTGGACGGTGATTGTAATATTTAAGTAAAGCCTGATACAAAACACGCAGCACTACACTTTTCCCTACTCCTGCACCTCCAGAGAGGAAAACATACAAAGGATCACTCTTTGTTTTCAACCAATGATATACATGGTAAAAAAATTCTTTCTGTTTAAGATTTAGATTCTGAGCAAGAGTTCTAAATGCATCATCACTCATTTCATTCAAGGGTAAACAGGAATCATCTAACTGCTTTCTTGTGATTCCAATGTCTTGTCCAAGATCATATGAACATGGTTGCTCACAGGAACGGGAAACCATATTTGCAGATGGATCAAAACAACCATAAGTTCTTGATGAATGGTGGCCTTCAGAAGAATCAATAAGCTCTAGGTGATCAACTTGAGGCAAAACAGGCTCTCTAATAGAATTTTCAAAATCCTCAGAAAAATCTGTAATTGCTGTTTCTAGCAATTGTTGATCAATTTTCTCATATTTCTGTTGATTTAGCAAAATAATGTCTTCCATTTTCTGATAACTTTCATGAAAAGAGTTGCATTCATTCAACAAGTCACATTCCTCATTTCTCCATGATGTAAACAACATTAACAGCTGTCTATAATGTTCTTCTTTGTTTTCATTTTCTGATATCTTGTTGTAACGCAAAACTTTTTGCCTCTTTCTTTTTCTCATTAATGTCCCATCTTTAAATTCTATAATATCTGATTTGTTTTCTTCTTCATTTTCACTTTCACTCATGGTGTCGTCATTATTTTCAACATCATCTTCAGGTAATTCACTCTCCACCAATATAGATTTCTTTTGTCGTGCAGAATAAACTGTGTCAAACCAGGACACAAAATCAGCATATATACAGTCATTCATTTTGTTTGGTCTTCGCTTGTATCTCTTCAAAACATTATCTGCCTCAATATTAGTTGAATTCTTTGGTAAATGTTGTAGGTCTGTGAATGATTTTAATAAAGCAACTCTTTTTTCTGCTGAATTTGTATCTATGAATACAACAGACCTTGTACATTTTCTTAGTGGCATTTGCAGGACTAGATAAACAGCTTCTTGAGCTCCAATTTCTACATGAGAAAGAAACTGATTTCCTATTCTTCTTACTTGTTGCCTGATATCACTCTCACTTGATCTAGCCTCTTTACATGCTTGATGTAATAAATTTGATAGACCTCTTTGTCCTTTTGAGATGTATGAGACTATGTAAGATACACATGCATATGGATCAAGAATGTACTGAATATCCATGTTTGCTTCCCAACATTTTAATGCAAGAGTGTTGTAATTATTGACTCTTGTTTCACAAGGTGAACGTTTGAGAAAAATTTTGGGACAACATAAAGATGACCTGACAGCTAACAAATAGGTATGGAGATCCATTTGTAATTCTTTCAAGAAGTCAGAGAAGCTCATAGCATCCACATTTTTCATTTCATTCATGAAAGTTGCTACCTTTGAATAATTTTTTTCTGCAACCTTTTTGTCTTCTTCCTCATTCAATGGCTCTAAAATAACAGTTGATGGCATAGGAGGAATAGGGAAATTGAACCTGCAAATTGCTTTACCTTTTTTTCTACAAGTTCTTGCATGTCTGTGTGTTTGGTAATTAACAAGACTTGGCATAGTTGTGTCTTTTTTGCAAGTGACATATTCATCAATGAAATGAACAACATCTGAAATATCAGACCGACCATAAACAGGAGCATCTTTTATCCATAGGAGAAGATGGATGTGTGGTGATCCTCTTTGCTGAAACTCTATTCTACCAAAATAGTCAGCAATTTCACCAATAGGATGAGACTCGCATTTCAAGACAGAATTTAAGAAACACTGGATTCTATTATCGAAGTACCTGGCACAAGTTACAGGGTCAGATTTGATTAATTCACACTTCTCTTGCCATGTCATTTCAATGGTTTCTTGCTCTGTCAATTCTTTTTGTTTCACCAGTTTTGCCAAACATTGAAGTAAAGGTATCCATCTAGTCTCTGCAGCGGAGAAAGAACAGAACCAAGTTGGTACACCAAGTTGTTTGATCATTGCAAAAACATCTTTTTTTGCACTCTCCCAGTATGGTGGTGAACCTCGAAGTTTTCGTAGAACTCTGAATCCTTCATCATGCATTGCAACGTCATCAATGAAACCTGGGGACAAGACCTCTGCTACTGTAATTTTTTTCCCATTTGTTTTGCATTTTCTCATTGCCAAAGACACTTTGTCCTTTATCTGCTTGATCTGCAGTTTCTTTAACTTGTAGAATATATTTGGGAGGTTCATAGCAACTCTTCTGTCAACATTTCTTAACTCCCATTTACAAATTGTGCTGTAGTGCAATGGGACAGTCCTACAAGAATTATCTTGTCTAGATTGACCACAGTAAATTGTTGGAAAAGCTAGAAATTCTGAAAAAATGTCCTGAAATAGTCCCAAGGGAGTCTTGCCTTCTCCAGGTGCTAAAGAAAGAATTTGATTAAATTCCCTAAAATCTGCTGGATGAAGCAATGTGTCAAAATTTCCAGTTGGTCTGTTTTCAAAATTTTCATCCTCTGTCCACTGATCTGTTTCATTTTCACCAGGACTATCCTCTTTTTGTTTTCCATCATCCACACTTGACAAATTATCATCCTCGCTTAGTTGTTGGTAGTTGTTTATCCAATTTTCATCAATTTGTATTCCTTCATTTCTGAATAACATGCTGTTGTTGACCAACCACTTGGCTGCTTCAAAAACCTTGTTTGGTCTTACCTTTTCAAATGCCATATGATGTTTATAACACATTTTCCTTTTAAATTTCAGGAGTATTGTATCTTCATCACACTGCATCCTTGGTAATGTTTTCACTGTGGTGTTTACATCTGCTGGGACATTAACCACATTTCCCTTTAAACTCAACTGTCCTCCACGTGGCATTTCTCTGATTTGCATGAACGTCAATCTAGGAGCAACTAAACGCTCTTCTAATTGAGTTAACTTAAGTTCATCAGGAATTTCAGGAAATTTTAAACCATTAGCAAGTGAACATGCTGGAATTTTCCCAGACACAAGAGCACCAACGCAAGCCTTACAGATCCATTCTTTATCATCAACACTTTTGTAACCTGTCAGGCAAGCTAACAATTTATCTCTGTGTTTAAATTTTGTCCTATCTACTCTCTGTACAGAGTGTTTGAAGAAAGTCTGCATGCATGAAGAACAAATGTATAATGGACCATCTTTGATACTATCATGAAAGCTATTTCTAATAGCATTTGGATTGCACCCCTTATGCTCAAAAAGCATTCTTTGATTCAGAACAGTTTTCAGATTTTCCAGAATTTCTGATTTTGATACTTGTTTTTGCTGAATTGTATTTTCCATTGTCTTCATTTGCTTTGTCTTTGTGTGATCATCTGTATTTGTATTAGCTAGAAACCTTTTCTTCTTTCTTTTGAAAGTCAGTGCCAATTTAAAAACATGCAAATCATACTGCAGCTCCTCAAATGGCACAGAACATGAAGACTTTACTACATCTCGTAAGTGAAAACACAAATCTGCAAGACAGGAACATTCGCCTAATATGCATGATCCATCTGAACAACTTCTGCCATTTTCATCTCTGGCATGAGAATCAAATACAAAAAACTTTTGCCCATTATAAAATATGCCTATTGCACTACCTTGAACAAGCAAAATATAATATGCAAATCCACTGCCTGTATATGAAGAGAGTATGGCACTTTCAAGAGAAAAAACTGATGTATTCCCCACAAAATGTTTGCAAAATACACCACTAAATGTTTGCAACACTTTGACTTGAAATTCATAATGAAAATTATTATCTTCATACAAAATCTTTTTTGGTAATTCACTTGGATGCAAATATTCATGTCCATTTAGACATAAAGTTTCCTTCTGTATTTTTCTATACATTTCATCTCCATGCTTCATCACATCGTGTAAATCCTGTTTAGTCCAATCTTGAACATCTAATGTTAAAGTTTTCAATAAAAATATCAAGCAAATGGAAACACACTGTTTTCCTCTTGATACCAATGGGAATATATCAGACCCTTGATTGAAATCACCTTTACACAAGATTTTAAACTCCATTGTATTTTCAATCAATCTCAAAACCAGCGATTTCACTTTTTTTTTTTTAGAATTTAAAAAAAAAATTGACTTTTCTTTCAATCTTTGTTCACTGAAGATTTCACATACGACTCACATTATTATAGAAATTCTTGAGGGACAAAGTGATTCAATTCAGTTTTCTTTTTCAGAATGCATATCAACTCTACTAATACAGTACATTCTAAAGTACATGGAATGCTTCTCATGCATTTTTCAAATAGTTCTGATATACTTTAATTTCCAACATGATGCATTTTTCTTGTATAGATTTCTTATACATACATGTTTGTTCAACTCCAAGTAACTTCAATTTAGAAATGTTCAACTCCAAGACATATTACATCTTTCAAATTGTTCAACTCCAAGAAAATTCAATCTCCAGTTATAATTTTGTTGCAAACTCCAAGATTTTTCATTATATAAATTTGTTCAACTCCAAGTAAATTCAATTCTCCTGATCAGTAATGAAATGTTCAATTTGAAGAAAATTCACACACCAAGACATATGGCACATCAAGATCAACAATACTCAATTTTTGCAATCTTATGGTGTTCAAAATGTTTCGTTCTAGGATATGTATCATTTCACAGTAAAATATACACAATGCTTAAGTTCTTTTTACTCTTAATGTTTGTTTAAATACAAAATAAATTAAGATATTTCGTTTTCAATCATTGCCATAGCAGTGTGTCATTACCAAAACTATTGTTTACAAACAATTCAGCATGGCGGCACGCACCCACTCCTAGCGTCAATGGGCCTATATATAACTGTAAGTAGTTTCGTTCACAGAAAAATAATTGAAGGAAAAAGTAAAGTACATTATTTCATGGTATGAAACTGACGATAGTCAAATATGATTAATACTGCAATTCACAACTAAAGAATTAGCGGGATCTAGGCCTAATGTCAAAACTCATGTTTACATACAATTCAGCATGGCGGTGGCACGCGCGCCCACTCATCCAATCATATAGGTCTATGGGTCAATGAAGATTCGTCCACAGAAAGAATATCAATGTGTTATGAACGAAAAATAAAGTTCAATACATTATTTTACTAAAGGTGCTTTGTAATAATCAAATGTATGACGATTGATGGATTGGCGGGTTCTGACGATTGATGGATTGGCGGGTTTCTATCATGCAAACGACAATTAAAAACTACACATTAATCTATGCTGTATTTGATAATTTCTTTCAGCTCTAGAGAAACAGTCTGTCAAATATTAATAAAATATGCTAATTACAGAATACTAACCATCTTTAGCCTTTCTTTCTCAATCCAATATTCCTCTGTTTGTTTTTGTCTTCTTCTGCAGTCACAACCCACGCTATGGAAAGTAGTTCGATGATATTCATGCGCATAGTGTTATGGGTCCAAATGATTAATTTCGCGATTACAACGTGGACAATGAATTGGATACAAAAAATTGTTAATGTTTGTTTTCTCAAAACAAAAAAAACAAAAACAAAAAATGCATTTCATTTCATTATTTGGTGAATATCAGGAAAACTACTTTGTATATCGGAAGTTTCTTCTTGAACGCTGTTTGGCTTTTTGTTTACATTTTGTTCCCGGAGCTATTTATAGTAAGAAAGGCGATCATGACGCCTACAGCCAGGGCTGTGCTTTCAGCAAAGCCCGGCTAAAAATTATGTCATCTTCAACTTCTTGGACATCTAAGAGGCAAACATTTTGGTTTGCTTGATTTGAAAGGGCTATGAACTCTACCAATCTAACAAAATTCGATCAGTCCAGATTTCAGACCCAGGAATAGGCTAGTTAGTCATATATTGAAAATTCATTACACGTATAAAAGTTGTCTGTACTTCTTTAAATTTCACAAACAATACATTTGCAATAAACTACGAGTCCATTACCCTAATTATGGAACTTGTTTTCCTTGTTTAGCATGCAGGGTTCTGAGAGCACAGGGTTTGGCTAAGGTAATCATATGTTAAAAATGCGTTATATATCTTTGTAAATCCTCGGTATCCTTGACCTTAAAGCAGGAAAGTCTCTATCAAAATTGTGAAAATCAAGTCACATGGATTCATGGTTCAAATTGATGTTAAGACTGTTAATGGTAAATATTTTGAGAAATTCATCGTACACAGTTGACCCTCAAGTTTTATGGACCCCTAACATTCTCAATCACTGGTGCAAGTTCATGAGAAATTGCATTTCAAAAGAATCTAATAGAAAAGAGCAATCCCCACGGAAATGTAATGAAATATACCTTCTTTATATTCACTTTGTGGTTAACAATGATATAAACTTCAATTTACCAAAGCCTACAAACTGAGGTAGAACACAGTATTTCACATCAATGTCTGTTGAGTGTGACTTATAGAGGATAGGAATTGGTTTCTCCTCATTGGATCAAGTGCATCTTCACAGATCTGCTAATTATTTAGCTAGACGAGATGATTTGTAATGACTAGGTTGATTGGATGATTTGTCAGCTCACCAATCACAAACAGCATTCCAAAATGATTTCCGACTCTGCTGCCAATATCCCACGAAGGGGGAAGGAAGTGAATTATGATACTATATCACCCTTAAACCTCACTTTGGAACCAATTTCCGAAAAAAATATTGTATGATATTAAAAATGTATTGGAATGGTCACACTAACATGATAAACCAAAATTCTATGATTAAAAATTTAAACAGGAATTGCAACAATTGACTACACATTACAACTCTGAATTACACAACAGTTTTAAAATCTGAATGCATTTGATTCACTGACTTTTACCATAATCACCATAATAAGCACCTCACAATATTATATTGGTGTTGGATGAGTCTTAGGTAGACATGCCCAAAAAATGGTTTTATGCATCAACACATTGAGAAGTAATAACTTATGAGAGGAAGCAAGGTTTCTCAATTACAGACATAATTTGTTCCTTACTTTTCCCTATCATACCTGTATACTAGTCTAAGACATTTTGCTTGAATGAGATTTGAAGATAGTAAAGGTACCTGGCATTTCATCAACTCTAATAGTGACCAGTTCCAGCCTTGTTGCATTACATATCAAGCATATTAGATGATACAGTTTCAGTGGCATGAGATTCAATCAGAAGTCAAGATATTATTTTCAACTGGACTTTGAGTTTTAATAAAATCAGCTAGCATAATAGACTTTTAACAAAAAACTGATACATTTTGGGAAATACAGGGAATTCCAGGAGTAATGTTATTAACTGACGTATGTATGTAGAGTGATACTGACTGTGCATTCATCACATTTTGTTTCTGCTATAATTGAGTTTTTGTAATTCCTTGATTCCGTTCTTTTTAGCATTTCACACATCCTTGAGTCTGTAGACCAGACAAGGGAATACTCGAATGATTTTACATTCAGCAGAAACCTCTCAGTTTGTGTGACATTATCAATATTTGCATCAGATTTGACAAGGGAGTTTACCCAGTATTTCAGTAGAATAATTAAATGATTTTATTTGTAATCTACCTTGTAAATATCTATCTAACAAATAGAGAAATAACAGATGCATTAAAACATGACTGATCATAATTTAGAGTTTGTCTCCATTATGTAATCTTTGATAAATCTTAAAAATTAAAACACTCGGCAATCTTCGTAACAGTATGTTGTATTAAGAGATGTTAATGGTTAGTAATCTGCTCTGGAATACTAATAATACTTAAATTGTTATTGTGTGTTGCATGCAACTACTAATCTTATTTTGGTTATTTCAAAGGGATGTGTTTGGGTCAACATTTAAGATTTATAGCATGCATGCAGTTGCTGTAATTGTGAATGAACTTTCACATTGCGTCATGATATTAAATCTTGAAAGAAGCATTTATAAGTCCTATTTTTACAATATGTCAGATGTAAAGAAAAAAACACCATTTCAATTTTCTTGATTAGAATTCGCTATTTTAAAACATAGGCTGCATGAATGTGACAGGTTGAAGTTTTCTCCCTTTACTGTGAAGAAATTTCTGACTTCAGAGAGTCAGAGTTGTCTCTCTTTGCCTTTCAGTGAAAGCATTATATAAAGCTAATCAAAACCAATCAAATTAATGTATTGACCTTCTAGTTCAGTGCATAAAAAGGGATTTCCCACTGTCAGTGTAAACAGAGTCAGATAATTAGTGTGTTGCAGCTATGCAAAGAAGGAAGAAAATGTGGTTTACATCCAAATATTGAGAATCTTGTACAGAACGGAGAAATTATCGCTTTTTTTCATGGGAACATTACAGC